CTTCTTCTGTCTCCATAGCACAGGGGCCTCCTGAACACTTAAACAGCCTACGGAAAGTCAGAACTTTACTTAACCTTAACTCCATTACAAAGCCCACATATAACGTAATTTATATTTGAACAATAAAATTTTCCTATAAGTTGAAACATGACCTATAAAGGTCTCTATACCCTGAAGCAACATTTTAGAAAGAAATCAATTGGTCCTTTTCTACAGAAACCATTAGCTACAGGAGAGATAAAGGGAAAACTTCACAGTACTGATTAAAGCGCCATGCCCACGGCATAATTTCTAAAAGGCAGCCATTCCATTCAGTTAAAACGAATTAGATTTGTTTTATTATTATTATTAAAGAAAGTCTCAAATCCAGAAGTGGAATCTTTAATATAGCTCGTGCACGTACACATCCCCTCTGACCACTGGCAGGACCGCTGGGATATATCCTAATGCTTCTCTCAACACCACCTGGAATTCTTACTTTTTGTCATAAACAGCGGTCCTAATCTTCACTTACACCTGAACACACCACACCTGTGAGGCCCATGGGACATTAAAAATGCCCTCAGTGCCTTGATCCTTCCAGATTCACATCTGAGATGTATGACCTTATGACCTTTGTTCCTCCTGAGAGCCCACACACCAAGATGAAGATTTCTTCTGTGTGCAGGTCAGTGCTGTGGCCCACTCAGGGTCCTTCCCCAATCTGGTTCCCATCTAAGGGATCAGGAAAGGCTGGACCAGCCTAAATTTATCAATATCTTAGTATAACATCATACAGCATTACTTATTATGGTGTTGACCGTACATGCCCTTTTGCTCCTCAGAGGAAAGGTGATTAATAGCTGCCATTATGTCTGTTAATAGAATAAGCCTGGTATTTATGAATTTAACTGACCCATTCCCATTGGTTTTCATTGTGTACTGCAGGCAGAGGGCTGATCAAAACAGCAGAAGTGAACGAGTGCGCCTGACCCAGCCCTGAAGCATCGTTCCTCTAGGACCAAGACTCACCACGGTTAAAACTCACTGTCCTGTCTCAGGTCGTTCTAGCTCGGGATGCTGTGACCAAGAGGATTTACACAACATCTTGGACCCAGAAACTGTTAATTCCTGTAAAAACACAGCAATAACCACAGTCCACCCTCTTTATTTAAATCAACAGTGTTGAGGGTATAAAGGACGAATAATTTTTGTGTCAGATCCTTTGTTCACTTGGTTCTGGGGGAAGCACAACAGATATGAGAGAATAAATGCATTCAGTTAGAATTAATTCTCTCTTGTTCTCATAGCCGAGCAAGGCCTGAGCGTTTCTCATCTGAAAGGGGTGATAAGATTTAATCTGTCCCCTCATCTACCTTCTGCAAGTATATTTAACAAATTAGTTCTCAAGTCTCTTCCAAGTGGAGTTTTATAAGAGATTTGTTAAGGTAAGTGTGTTAGACTTTGAACACAGTTCAAACTCCAGAGGCAGCAACTGTCTGTCCTGCCTCTCACTCAAGACATCATAACATCAAACGGAAACAATTATTTTTTTCTTTTCCTTCCCATCCCCACCTCTGTACCACCCCACCAGCCCCAGAAGCCCTCTTACTCTTCTTTGGGATTCCTTTCCCTGCAAATCACAACTCCTACTGTAAGCCCTCATGCATCTGTGTGCCGCCCAGCATGACAGATATCGCCATTGTCCTTCTGCATATATTTGTGTGATAATCAGTTCAGTGTGTACTTCCCCCACAAGATCCTGAGCTCCTGGAGGGCAGGGACCACTCCTGGTTTTTCTCACTGTTGTATCCCCAGTGCCTTACAGGGCCAGGCACATAGTAGGTGCTTAATAAGTATTTGGGGAACGAAAGACTTGATGGGTTGGGGACAGGCCCAAAGGCTGGGGTAGTGGGGGCTCCTGCCTTGTGGAGGTCATTGACAGGACGTGACTGCCCACTAACCTGAGAGCTGGCCCCAGGCCACTGGAAGCTCCACACCCCTCCCCTGTCCTTGGAATGTACTTTCTGCCCACTGTTCCCGGAGCAGAAGCTGTTTCAAGGATGCAGCCTTGAGAGAGCAATGTGTTGTTGAGACCATCTGGACAGTATATGTGACTGAACTCCATTGAGGCCCCTGTGTAAACTTGAAGATTCCAGCAGGCCGGTGCGGAGATCTACTCCTCTTGTGGGGCCCAAAAAAAGCCTCCTAGGTAAGTTGTCCTGCTCATCAAACCTGACCCCCACCAGTCTGGAGTGCTCTCCCTCTTTCTTCGGTCCCTCCTTGTCCTCCGTGTATGGGCGCCAGTTTATGAACCAACGCCTTGACCTGAAGGCCCTTTTCCAAGGACAGAAAGGGCGGCGATGGCCTGAGCCCGGGACCCAGGGCCTGAGGAAGCACCCCGCTCAGGCGCTGGGCATGACGGCGGTCAGGCTCCCTCCCGCGCAGTCCCAGGGGGGCCGCGCTGGGGGCGTGGGGGCTAGGATAAGGCCGCCCGGCCGACGCGTTCGCCCATACGGGCCCTGCCAGAAAGACCCTCCTGAATGGGCAGAAATAGCCAGAAAGATTACCTAGCCCTGGGCCGGACTGGCCGCTCCCGCGGAGCCCTAGCTGCCCC